TAATTTTGTAGAACTGTCGTGTGTATTCGGGTCGAAACGAATCAGCCGAGAGGACAGCGGTCGCAACAATCAAAGACGAGCGTGCCGCGGAAGAAAACGGGGGAGCACAAATCATGTTTAAATTTGTCAGCGGATTTATCTAAAGGCCAATATTTCGTCGGGGAGATTGGCCTAGCAGCGTTTAAGGGGACGCGCGATACCACGAAATCCCTCAAAGGAGGAAGAAAAGTTTCGAGTGCCATAAATATCGCGCGCGTCCGACGGTGGTTTTACGGGTGTCTCGTGTAAAAGTTCGCGTCGTTAAATATGGCGGAAAGTTCGGGACGATCTTTCGAAAAATAGTTCGCCGTGGCCACTCGATATTTTTCGGCAATTTAAAAAGTTTTCATTAGCGGGGGGGAGCACGCGAGTGATGGTACGTTAGTTTCGAATCTTTCGAAGTTTCGCGGCTATTTACGACCGGCGGGGGCGGCCTCCCCGAAAGAAATATTAATAACTCGTACGGAAAGGGTAGGGCTCGGTCGAAATTGCCGACGAACTTTGGAGCACAGACTGAGAAGAACGGTCGTGACTTCGAATCTTGCGAAAATTTAACGGAGTTGGACTTGAGGTCCCAGATGAATTTTTTCCACGTACAGCGTCCTCCAGAACTTAGTTTACGGTTGTGAACGGTGAAAACTCGCCTGTGAATATAACCTCTAGAGTCCCCCAGGGGTCACAATCGGACATTTTAGAACTTGATCTCGATGGTGGTGATAATATAGTAATACGAACGTATGCCAGCCCAAATGACAACCTCACACTTCTCGCGGTGCACCCTGCTGGACAACTAACGAGGTGCTGTCGATCGAGTGACTGCCGGAATAAGTAGTCCACTTTTATCGGCTAACAGCCACGGATGGAAGAGCCATGAAGAGAAAAGGGCACCTTCTTGTCCTAGGATTGAGAAATTGATATTAAAGGCGAATGAACTATAGAATAGTCAACGGCATGGAGATGCAGAAGGCAACGGGGAACCACTGCATTGAAGACTCGTAGAGTGCTCCTAGTAATAATCATGATAATGGCTGCAAACTCAAAAAAAATGGCCCCTAGTACGGGTGTCTCTTAAATGGGGCAGGGGTGCAAAGAATCTTCTGGCCAACCAGTATGAGATATAAGTAATACGAGAAGTATGTATGAAAGTGGAAAACTCAGTAATACTATCATGAATGAAGAGATTAAATATATATATATATATATATATATATATATATATATATATATATATATATATATATATATATATATATATATATATATATATATATATATATATATGTTTTGTTTGGGAGACAGGTTTGATGATGGTCTCAAACGGGAACATTAGTATCAGACGAACATGTACTATGTTGGAGATGAAAGTACAAACCACCGTAATAGTGAATCTAATGAAATACAGAAGTCAACAGGCTACAAAAAAATTAATTCAGAAATAAGAATGAAAATTAGACATGCGAAAATGGTGTACTTCTCGTACTTCTCCAACGAATGTGCAGAGATTGAGGAGTATGACTTAAGGGTACATAAGAAAGTTAATGTAATTACAGGATAGAACCATAACAGTGTGAATACAATAATGGACAAAAGTGGAAGCTTAATCGTAGAAACAGGGAAAAAACTAAAAAGATGAGTAGAGTATATTGAGGAGCTATTTGAAGAAGAGCGAAACGCGGATCATAGCGTACAAGAAAACATAACTGGACCACCAATTACTAAAGACGAAATAGAAACAGCCATTAAATTAGAAAAAAAATTGCATTATTACTTAAGTTGTTTAGTTTAAGCGGAGGTTTGTCCCGATTCCTATATCAGCAAAGGCTAGAAATTGCAATGAACACCGCACCATAAGTCTGATGAGTCCTCTCTTAAAATTATTTCTAAAAATAATAAATCAAAGAAATTACCCCAAAATTGAGGAAAACATTGAAGATACTCAGTTACTCAGTCTGTTCAACATTCAAGATATGAACTGCGATGTATTTATGTGCTTCATTGACTTCGAGACAGCGTTTGACAGAGTGCAACAGGACAAAATGATTCGAATACTCAAAACAAAAAGAATTGATGGCAAGGACTTGAGAATCATTGCCAACCTCTTGTATCATGTGAAAATAGGAAATAATATCACTGAAAGCATCTCAATTAAAATGGGGGTAAGACAGGATTGCAGTCTGTCAACATTGCTTTTCAATTTATACTCCAAGAAATAAAAATCAATGGGGTAATAAACAACAATTTAAGATATGCAGATAATTCCGTTCTACTGGCAGATAACATTAAAGAACTTCAAAAACAAGTAGTAGACCAAACTTATGGCTGTAACTAATGAACCAAACCTACATGTAGCACTGTGGACCGGCCAAAGTTAACAACAAAGTAAGAGTAAGAGTAAATGTCTGGGACAACTATACAGAGAGGACTGGAACCATTCACTGGGCATGAAATCCAGAATTGAACAAGTAAGAGCAAGGTTCATACCTATGAGGAAAGTGGCGGGTGGATACGAACCAAAAATTTAGCTCAGAATGAGAATGGTTCGATGCAACGTGTTCTCAATCCTGTTAGACTCTCGCAGACGCATGTTGTCATGAAGTCATGAACAAAATAAAGAAAAATAATGGAATCATTGCTAACATCAAGGATAAGAAACTCTTATACTTCGGCCATGTTATGAGACATCCTGAAACATACAACATCCAGAATTTGATCATTCAGGGCAAGATTGAGAGAAGACAAGGCCCAGGAAGAAGAACATCTTGGCTGAAAAACCTGCGACAGTGGTTCGGACAATTAACTAATACGCTGTTTAGGACAGCGGTAAATAAAGTATTGATAGCAACATGATTGCGAACATTCGGTAAAAAACGGATATGACACATCAAGAAGCAGAAGCAAAAATAATAGAATTTTTTTTGCAAGCAAAAAAGAACCTATTAATATTGACTTCAAATTAGACAATATAAAATTTAAGAGTCAAAAATTTAGGCATCATACTGGACTCTGAGTTAACATTTGAAGCATATGTAGAAAATATTGTAAAGAAGGGCTTGAGAAATTTTGGTTTTTGAATTCCGTAACACCAAAGGCTTTCGCATCCACAAATCAGTCATTATAATTTATAATACCGTCATCAAATCCATCTTGGAATACCCATCCACCGTATGAAGTCCGATCTATCGCAAGTACGTCGATCTGATAAAGTGTGTTCAAAAAAAGCTTTTTGGAAACCTTAATTTTAGATATAATAGAGACAGGCATTACTTTTCGTATGAAAATAACCTATACAGTTTTATAAATTAAGGTCGCTTGAAACACGCAGAAATTGTTCAGACGTAATTTTTCTTTATAAAATTGTCAAATTTTAAGTACTTGGACATAGAAATCACGGGAAATGTTGATGTTGACGCGGATGTAAGGGCAACAAGAATAGCAGGATGACACAGCAAAAACTAGACAGTTACTGGAGACAACCGAAATAGGACCACTTCGTAGAACAATTGGAAAAATGCTTTTGGACAGGGAGAGGAGGATACAAAAAAAATTTCCATGCCTCATAAATCATAAAAAAAAATCCCATGCCTAGCAAACATTAAGGGGGAGATTATATACCGCGAGGTTTAGGTTAAGTAGTAAGTAATAAATTTTAGGAACTGATCTATCTACAAAATTAAAGTTTCAGTCGCAAAACAAGTCGCATAGGAAGTTGGCAATTCCTAGTCATATTTTATGATCAAGGATGCGGCCATTTTTTCGGATACCGGGTCCCTTTGTAGCCGGGGGATCGTAGCTTCCCAGCACCCTCGCCACCCCCCGTGGAATTTAATATGTTTATTTAATAACAACGGGAGTTGCATGTAAAATATTCGCTATACGCACTATTTAAAAATAAATGGAAAAATAACAAACGCAGCTATTATTCTAAGCGTGCTCGCGTTGCACGGCTCATTTTATATTGACGAAGGAAAATAGATTACGGCCGTTTGTTTTCGTAATGGACCAAAAAAAAAATGTTCTATAGCGTGAAACATTCTAAACGCGATTGTAAAATGCGTATCGATATTGAAAAGGTATTAAATTTCGGAAATTTCGTTTTCATTTTCAAAACTTTTTTCATAATTTTACTACACCACACTACCAACATCTTTTAATTCCTATCATACATTTGTTTATGTATAGAAATAACACATACCAAAAATCAAAACTCAAAACCCAATATTTAAGTTGCAATAAATAATTTAATTCAACGGCACTAAATGCTTGGGAATGATCGTGACGTCGTACCGCTGCTTTTCGATCGATACAACGACATGTTACAGTGTTATTCTCAGGTTATAGGCCGAGCCCTATATTATTTACGTTTATTTTTGGCTAGTGTACAGGTGTATATTTGTGCTTAGTGTGCCTTCCATGATAATAACTGAAACAACACAAAAAAAACGCCAGATAAATTTTTTATTCACCTAACAGAAAATGAAAGCCGTCGTTTCTTAAATTATGTCACTTTAGCCTTAACCGTGCATACATTTTTAACAGTCTCTATAGGAATGGCTTCCTGATCTATATAAAATAAAGAACGCTTTAAGTAATCAATCAAAATTCTTCTCTATGCTACCGTCCGGTTGGCGCGTAATCTTACGAGCGAATTGACGTCACAACCAATGATAGCGCATTTCAAGCAGGATCGAAATTTTACAATTTTTAATTGCTTATATTTGTTACATAGAACTACGAAATTATTTTTTTGTGAACTGTGGTTCTTTTAATCGTGTAAATTTATTTTTTTAATCAATATTTTTTAAATTGAAATTTTGTTCCCTATTCTGAGTCCGTGTAAAAATTAAACAAATCAGCTATTAAAAACAATGATTTCTTAAACTTTCTATTAGCAATATTAGAAATTTGGTACATAGATTTTTAAAAAGCGCATGAAAGAACATCCCCCCCCCCCCACAACTCACGTAATAATATTGAGGGTATTTAGTAAAGGTAAATATAGTTAATCAAATACCTCTACAATTTTTCCTTTCAGTAGTCTCTAATAGTCTCTAATAATTTCCTATTCTATTTTTCTATGATTTTGCTGTTAATGTTTGAAAATATTTTGTTTAGTTCGATTGTGATTAAATTTTGAAAAAAATTATATACAGTGGTATCGGAATGTAACTTTTTTTTCTCACTCGCTTAGCCGACTCGAGCCGACTTTGCCCGACTGATTGACGCCTCAGTCGCACTTCATAATAAAAATTCGGGGCGTTCCCTCTCGTATGCGGCGGGGATTCGCTACGTCGAAGACCTACCCTACTGGAGACACACATAACGAGCAACACTTTGTCCAAAGATAAAACGTAAACGTAACAGTTTCATTTATAGATTACAACGTGAAAAATAACAATTGTTACCGCTCAGGCAGGTGAAACTACCCCCTCGCCCGTCACGAACGACCGCCATCTTATTGCGTAAATTCCGATAGCCCAAACGTTATTGCGAATTAATTAATGGCGTCTTTGTCTTCGGGTGATATTAGATCCACTTATCAGGGCCCGCGTGGTGACAAACCGACGTATAAACTGAATCAATTAACATTGCCTCGTCGATTATTAATTACGCGGCCGTGGGGGGCGACTGCGGAAACATGTCGGTCGTCCCCGGGACGGGGCGGGGTCTCTATCCCGGTCTATATCACAGGAAACGAAAATTAAAGTGAAAAATCTAACGGCGGTCTGTTCATCCCGTTTCGTACACTGCGTCGCCGATTTAATTCGTTACTTGTCCGTTTCAGCTTATTTGGCCACTAGGATTGTCTAAATTTACACCCAGAGCTACCTCGAATCGTCAATGGGCGGTGCCGTCCTTTATACCACGCCCCATTTATTAAATGGGAAGGTGGAGGTAATCGTGGGCGGTGTTTGCTACTACTTGAACTGGCCGTTGTAGGATTTGCTTGACTAATCTAATCAAGGAAGTTCGAGCGGGTTTGGAAACCCATTTGAAAAAACATAGACGACAGGCTAAACATCAGGGATTTCCAGAAAAACGCAATCAAACTGGCAGTGGAAAATAAGTAATTAAATCGTACCGCGGAAACGACCCATTGGAAAACAAAAACCAAAATTTATAACCCCCAGCTCGATTAACATTTTTGCGTCGTTAGTCGCGTGTTTATCTCCCGTGGCTCCGCCGAATAATCAAATCCCGGTTGTCGGGAGCCAAATACGGGGGACGGGGTATACTGAGCCGTTCTTCGACGCCACTATCCCCGAAAAAAAAAAACGATGTTCCAAAAAAAAAAAAAGAAATCCGCGACTCCGTTCGATTCACAATCCCGCTTCTGATTTTGTCAAAAATCAAAGCCAGACGCGCGAAAGTTATCGCCGGATGGTATGCAAGCGCGCCCGCCCCCCGTATAAACCGAAACGGCCGTGTTTCGTACTTTTGCATACAAAACGCCGAATTAGTCCTCACTTGGGACGACGGCCCGGTTAAAATTGCAAATTTCGCGTTAATATTTGTATTCGTTAATTACGCGGACCGGCAGGGTGAAGGGGGATGAATTTTTATCGATTACTGGCCGCAGATTATGACGTACCGCCCTGGCCGCTAAATTTGAACCGACATTGTAATCGGCTTATGCGACATTATCCGAGTTTTTCTTTAATTGGAGGTTGCCGTGGTTTTGTTGAGCGGCCCGGTACGGAGTGGCTTATGCAAAGGACTAATGAGAATATACGAGGGCGAGGCACACCTGTCACCGTCTTAAAGATACGCTCTAATATTATTTTTGATCGTGGCGTGGCTTAAAAGAGGGAAAACAAACATCCCTGCTGATCAATTGAGGGCCAGACGAATGAAATGGAAGGAGCGAGACGAAATGGCTTTTCAATATCTTCCACCTTCCACCGTGAAGAGCGTGGCTTAAACCAATGACACGCCTCCTGGAAACGTAGAACACACATTCATACTGTGATTAAGCGCAAATGAGGAAATACTATTGGAAAAACTTATTAAAAACAACTCTACAATTTACAATCCATCTAAAGTTTTAAAGATACGCCCTTTTTAATGACAACCTTGTGGGCGCACAAAGGCTCCCCAATCCTGAAAGGGGCAACATAACTATAGTGAAGTACAAAGGAGGAAAGTCTATTGCGATGGCGCATAAAAAAAACTTTAGTTTTGCAAATCACACACCCTGCAAACTGGCTTGCATAATCGACACGCCTACCCATAGCTGATGAGCGCATGGTGGCACGTATAGAGGGGAAACAACGGGGAAGACTAATAGTAATAGATGTGGCTTAAGTAACAAGCGCCGCCCCGAAATTTTGCGGCGATTCGTAAGGTAGGTAACGCACTAATCGGTCGAGTAGCGGAAACGCGAGACGCTCGAGGGATACATTCGTAAATCACTGAAAGGCACCGGTAGATAACAAGTGAGCGTAGGGACGGACGAACCGACGTACTCCGTATCTCATACGGTCGTTTCCCGATCGACATGGATGTACTCTACGGGTGGCTTGTGTCAAGAGTTTAAGTCCGGGTCTAGGAGTCGCGGCCCGGTCAACAGCTTCTTCTTGGCGAGCTTTCGGCGGCGACGCGCGCGGAACCTGTGCAGCGTGAGACACATCAGTAGGAAGAGTGACGCGAACACTGCGAATCCTGCGGCGATCGCAGCCATCGGTAGTGAATTCAGCAGTTTGGAGGTCGCTCCGCACCTGACCTCCGATTCGTCGAAACCGGAAGGGCAATGGTCCTTGCCGTCACAGAACAACGACGAACTGATACACGCGTCTAATTCTGGACACTTGAACCCGCACTCGAGGTCGGTTTCGTTGGCGCTGACGTTCGTAGGAACTTGGAGTTGGCTGAGTAGCGAATGACGAGATCTGGAGATTTCTAACCAGTTGAACGCGGCCAAGCCTGGTTCAACCCCGATCCACTCGACCACGAACTGGGGCGGTCTTTGGATGAGGTGAGCCACCCCTTCACCGCGCCACTCTTCGCTGAACACGTGAATGGCTAATAGTTTAGCACCCGGTTCGGCGGGGCATATGGCCTTTACGAGTTTCGACGGTCTTCCCGAGTAGACCAAGATTCGATTGTTGGTAGGGCATCGCGTCGACTCGTCGGCTCTGGGTTTCAGCGGCAAGAACGCTCCCCAACTCAACAAGAACAAGCTCTTGTTGTGTCTCGCCTCTACGATCCACGGCAGTCCAGTGCACAAGCTTTCCGTTCTATCCGCAGGCGGGTTGCTAAATTGCACTTCGCCACCGTCTCCTCTCAGTCTCTGAGTACGCGGACAGTCCGACATTTTGACCAGCTCGAACAGGACGTGGAAATGTATCACCGTAAAGTCTTCGGTGATTTTCATGTCCTTCGCAGTGAGGTGAAGTTCTAAAGTTCTCGACGACGATACGAATACAATCGGTTTACTAGCTAGCGTCGAGTTATCACAGATACAAGCTTTCGGAGTACGCACGCCTTTCCACGGCACTTCGAATACGCTCAACTCCGCGACGTTCCCTCCGGGGTAGTACTCACACGTGTGTCTTCCGCTGTGCGAATCCGGTACCGTTTCGCATGAGGGGTTCAAGCCGAACGAGGCGTTGTTCACGATCAGCCTCACCCTTTCGTCGCTTCCCGCCTCGAATCTGTAGACGCAGTGCAAGTCTCTAGCTCCTCCTCTGCCGTAGAGGAAAACGTTGCGTGGACCTGTAACTTCTCCTACGTGCTGCTTCCTATACACTCTATGACACGATCCGGCTTCCTTGTCGGGCTCGCCACCAAGGCGCGTGTCGACAAACTCGTACTTCAGTTTGAAAAAGGCGGGGTGTAAAGCGGTACCGTCTTCGGTGTGGTGTTGCAGTACGAGGTTCCGATCGGACGACAAGTAGCTTTCCTCCAACGTGCAAGGTCTGGTGGTTCTGGTGGCGTTGCTCAGTGCGCTGTGATCGCATATGAGCGGAGGCTCGTCGCACTTGTCCTCCAACACGGTCTGGTTGTCGAATATGCGAAGCCTGGTGGCGCATCCTCCTCCCATCGAGCTGTTGCCAAGTAGCGCGTGACTCTCGCCTATCAGAAGAGCCCGCTGACTATACGATATGAAACTGACCCACACCAAATCGCCAGCGAAGCCCCGAAAGTTGTACGTACAGGTGGTGTTTGGTGGCAGTGAGTGTTTCGGACTAACCAGTCTACCCTTGCGCCCCCTACCGGTCCATATTTCGTCGCTGTCGGGACTGGTAGCGTTCACGTCGAACTCGCACTTCAAACTGTGCCTGGAATAGTCTAACGAGTCCGAATCGGCAAATATGATGTCGACGTCGAGTTCGAAACCTCTGAGCGGAGAGTGAGACGGTGGCGAGTGCAGCGGTATGCTAAACGGAGATGAGTGGAAAGCGACCAACATCTCGGGTCCGCGCGATACTACCCTCGGAAGCCAATCGCCGCCGCAGTACTTGGCCAGTACCGGGTCGTTGGTGGAACCACCATCGTAGAAGATGAGATGGTCGCGTTCGCCTGTACAGTCTCTCCAAGCCCTCAACGCTTTCGCGGTCTTGTTCAAGCCGGCTACGTTGATGGATCGTTTCATGTGCATCTTGTGCGACGCCTCTTGTCTGACAGCTATCATGGCGTGCTTGCAAGTTGGTACAAATTTCTGTCTAAGACTCCAGTAGCACGAGACGTTCCTAGGGTACATCCCCGGGTAGTTGGGAGACTGCAACCTGCACGGTTTCCTGTAACACTCCTCGAACTGTCGGGTGCAGTAAGTACCCGGGGCCACTTGTCCTCTCTCCAACGGTGACGCTGGTGAACCGAAGCGTACCACTGCTTCTCGTCTAGAGACGAATCTGTATCGTAATCGGAAAGCGAACGGGATCTGAGGCGAACCGAAGAGTTTGACGCTAACCGTCACCGTCGACGTTTCACTATAATAAGCAGCAGGACCGGATGACGAGCCGCACCACGAGCCTCCGGTAAACGGACGTCCCAACTCGCTGAGCTGCATGTATCCATCAGGGCAGCCGTCCAGCGCTGACGCTTCGTAGCGACCCACTTTGAACTCATCGAAGATTATCTGGAACAACGAGATAGGGATGTACATTTCGAACGGCAGGGAACGGTGCGGAAGGGGGCCGACTCTTAGAGGATATCGATTGTCGTAGTGCAGGGGGAGACTAGTCGTAAATCACCCGCCACAGGAAAAATTTGCTTGCGCGGCAAAAAATCGCGGGGGCACGGAGAATCTTGATTTAGAGATATCGAGCGGACAGCGAGTGGAAGGCGCGGAAAAAATGGAGAAGAGCGGGGCCCGCGGTTGACGTTTTGGCCATTAGTCGGAATAAGAGCCCGGCGTCGAACTTGACAAATTTTCGGCCGGCGCCGACGGGATGTGCTCTTTTTTTTCGGGTTCGAACGGGGATTTACGGTATCGACGGTATTTTGGGGTGTTAAAGGTTGTTATAGGGAGTCGAAAAAAATTTTGAATCATAATCTCAAATTGAGAATTTTTTTATTAATTTGATGAAAATTTTATTTTTAGTAGACATGGTACAAGGGTTCTGTGTTCGGTTGTTTTTTTTTGGTCTCTTTCTCGAAACGTTAAAACGTTAAAAATTTCGAATATATTATTAAAGTAAATAAGGTTTATCCAGTATGCACGGTTTAAGGGAGTTACGAATCTCAAAAGTGGTCTTTCGGACGTAGAGTATGGGGTTTTAAGTTATTGTAATTTTGTTTTTATTAGGAAATATATTTTTTAAATTATATTATCTTACATCATACATACTGAGTGCTTCGAACCACGTTGAACTAATTTATAAATAATGTTACTTTAGTTAAGAAGCATGGGCCCGAATATACCCTCTTTAAAAGGTACTTTATATACTCTATAGAGTTCCAAAAATCTTTTTTTTTTAATTTTTGAAATGGTTTAAGATTCCTAAATAAAATTTACTACTACAAAATGTAATTGCAGAATATTTTAAAATATTTTTGCTTCATAGTTATTTATAGTTTTGGTTAGTTTGTTAATTTTTTGCTTCCAAATTAAAAATGTCTCTTAGCGATGATGTTTATAAAATATTAAAATTTTCTGGACAGTAACTTTTACCACCCCATTAATTTATTGATGGTCAAAATTTTATTCAAGAAATCTTGTGAAGGAGGTTTATTAACCAAACTGACGTAAATTTTTAATATTCCATTACATAGAAATTAGAGGAACATATTTTAAACACCCTGTAGAATGAATATTAGGAATGATTCATTCAAATTCAATTTTTTACCAAAATTTCTCGCATACTGATTTGCCACTGACGATTTGGGGCGAAAATTAATTTTTAAGTAGATATATTAGACGGGTTCGTTGGTCTGCATCGTGATTCCCAAATATTGTCGGATTATTTATGAATTAAAATCAATATATTTTTTTAAAATGCCGATGATGGTGATGACGTTTCATCCTACGCGGAAGCCGCGTCGCGGCGCAAACAAAAACCTTAATAACACGGTCATGGCGTCGGCGTACGGCCTAATCAGGACCCTCTTGAGAGAACGAACGAAGTGAAGGAGAGATTTGCATATGAATGCGATGACCGAGCGCTCGTGCGACGGACAAACAAAGCGGTTTTTGCGAAACGGCCGACGAATGGGGGTGCGTTGGGGCGGGGGACCCAGAACGAGCCTCGACCGGATTTATACAAGCTCGAGGAATGGCACGTTTGTTGCATAAAATGAGGCGAATGGGCATGGCAAAGGAATCAAAGGTCTCGAGAAAACTTTTGCATAGTCCGTAGACACAGTCGTGTTTTATCGGACGAACATGGAGTAGTGACGGACTTAAAAGATTATTTTAAAGAAATAGTTCCTCAAAGTGAAAGAGATCATTTGGTGGTGGACGCAGGGTGTATGATGCAGAAACACAGAGACAGTGTCTATTATTATTCAGTATAGTCTCTCACTCTCCCTCTCCCTCTCTCCCCCCCCCCTCTCTCTCTCGCCATATACTTTACATATAACGAAGTCTGGGGATATTTTGAGAAAATACTGCCGAAAATGGTACATGTAAGTTAAAACCTGTCGAAATGACGAACTGTCAGCGGCCATGTTGGTTGTTAAAAACCCATTTCAATATCTTTTTCTCCTCTCCTCGATATCTATCTAGTAGCTATATGGGGAAAATGAACCACAAATTAATAACAAATAAATGACTTTGGATCATAAAAGTTACTAACGACAAAATTCTATTTTATTTTCCGTAGGGATACTGAGCAAAAACGATATTTTTAAAACTTCTAGTTATTGGTCATGCAGATATTTTAACTGATTTTCATACGTCAGGATAACTACCTCAGGGAATAACGATTCTTTTCAGAGATAACTAAAAAATAAAATTACTGTAATTTATTTTGTACTAAAATAGTCAATTAACCACTGATCAGGAGTGCGCAAAGTCTCACTTTAAAACATCAGCTTCGTTAATAACTGCCACGAGCCACACTTATAAAATTTTTGTCGACGCCATAGTGGATATGTTAGGGAGGTTCTGGAAAATTTCCTGCTGCACGCGTTTCCCAGCTTCGAGAGAAAATCAATTTTAAATCTCAAATATTTTCCTTCATAATAGAACATATTAAGATTTTATGCGGCGCAAAGTCTTTTAATTTTAGTTTATGAAACCATCGAATACGATATTTTTTTGGATATAAATCAATTTTCATTAAGTTTTGCATTGCCCAAGGGTCTTTGAGACATAACCAATCGCGAATTTCACAAACTCCTCCTCGTTGCGGTTTGTCGTTCGCACCGACAAAGACGCCAAAAAATTTTCGCCAAATAACGAACGCACGTCCCGGGTGCAAACAAAACCGAATCGCCGGGATACGAAGTCGTCGCAAGACAAAGAGAAAGAGAGGGAGAATGAGGAGGAGGCGGCATTAAATTTTGGGCGAAAACACAAATAAGGGACGAGACCGAGTGCCTTGAATAAACTGCTCCCGCGTAGAGAAAATGTTTGGGCAGAGCTTGATTCGATATTTACCCAAGACTTACGCCGGTTAGTACCCGTTTGCTGACCTTAACTTTTGGCAACAAAAAGATTAAATAAGGCGGGTTCTTTTTCTATACGCGTGGTGATTTTTTTCTCCTTTCCCTACCCAGGGGGATCGTGTTGATTTTGGCTTCACCCTCCGCCGGTGTCAACGTAAATAAAACGAAAAAGCTCGTCTTCGTTTTCGCTCGGTTGACCTTTGCGTATTTCAATAAACATCGCGTCGGCTTTGACGCGTGATAAACGACGTCAGGTCGCGTCACTTCATTAGGCGTTCGCGTAAATCCGTTTTGATGTCGCGTCTAAAATTTCAATATGGAAAAAGGCGGGAGCGTACAAAAAAAAAAAGCCTTCCTCCCCCGGGTTTGAATATTTCACGTGTCACGCACCTTCGGTAGAAAAAGTCGACGTGGAGGTGGGCTATCGGCGTTCCGCATGCTGAGCTTTCGGCTGTTTCATTTATTTCTCTTTATCTCTTCCGAGACGTCAATTTAGGGACGGGACTTTCGCCTCTGTCCCCCCGGAGGGGGTCGGCGGAAACTGATTGCCGCATTTTAAAAGCAAACTCTCGACGCTTGTTAAAAGAAACAAAGAAACGACCCGCGCTTTTATCAAATCTCCTTATCCGACGTCTGAGAGGATGGGGGACAGTTTAACCCTATCGCGGGGTAGTAGTAATCCTCTGGAGCTTTGTTTCGCCCGCGTACACAGGACATCTTTTTCTTATTTGCGTTGCTACGGTGTCGATGACGTTTGCGCGATTTTCCCGATGAAATACGGTAGCTTTTATCAGCTGTAGTATTATTATTTAGTTTTTTGTTTGTTTACTTGTTCATGATTTATTTTTTCGTTCCAAATAAGAGCTTAGTGAAAACTGTATCTTAATATATTTATCCTAAGCTAAAAAATGCATAAAAGAACTTTAAAGTTGGAGCTAAGAATTTTTTTAATGGTTTGGCGCCGAATATAACTTTAACAGTGATATACATAATCACGATAAAAGAAAAAAAAATTAACTTAAGACCTAATTTCATCATCAAGCAGCAAAACTGTTTAATAAATTACCAGAACAAAGTTCAAGTTAAAAGAAGGTCAAAGATTATGTAATAAGAAAACCTTCTATCCCAATTTTGGTTGCTGTCTGTTCGTAATTGTCTGTAATGTCAGTCTTTGATGTACTACCTCAAAACAAACTGAGGCTGTCGAGGATAATTGTTAGGTGGAGGATTTTATTTTTGACGTGGCGACAATAAGCAATTATTAATGTTATTGTGGATTTTTTCATAAGTTTACTTGTTATTGTGGATCTTTATATAAGTTTGCTTCGTCTTAAGCTCCACCATATATAATTTACCGAGTGCACTTCATAGACCTAGGATAAACTTATACATTGATCGTAATTTTTCAATGTGAGCTGTTTTCGGCAAGACGGTTTTCTCCGAGCTCAACAGGTGGTTTCTGGAGACTTCTTTTATTGCTTTGCATATACTGTTTTGTTGATCCTATCACTATTCGGATGATTTTGGTCTTCATACATTCAAATTCTTGCAATCTCCATTTGCAGTTTTTTTTTGAGTGATGTTGTAGTCTGATGGGATTGGTCCATCTATTAATTGGCAGATTTTCGCAATTCTGTCTATCAAGTTTATTAGCCTGAATTGTTCGGCCCCTGTGGCTTCGAGTATCCCATAGCATAATGATTTTATTTGTGACCACCACTGACATATTTTGCCCATCTTGAGAAGTTTGGTCGTAAGGTTGCAATTGACTGTTCTTGGCATGCAGTGACAAGCTAAATCTATTTCCAAATTTTAGCCATTCCCATGACTTCGGACTCTTTCTCTGAATCTTTGAGTATTTGTCGGTGCATTTGTTTTTCTGTTCATTTGTTTTTGTTTATTTTTTCTTCCTCTCGTTAACTTTGTTTAATTTTTTTTCATTTTCTCTTTCATTTTCATGCACATATATTTCTCTCGTTGTTTCACCTCCAAATATCGCGGGAGACCTTGAGTCGCAATCTCGTAGTT